TTTTTGCAACAGTCAAATTTTGCATTCATTTGGAAACTTACCTCTAGCTCTAACTTTCCACCACCTCCCATTCCCTCCAATTCCACCAGCAGCTCGTGCAAGTATCCTAGGAAAATACATAGTTTAATATGTCATTCAGGACAAGAACTGCAGAATCCATATGCAAACTTTATCTTCTCAGTCAGTAAACTAAAATTCAATACTTAAGTTCCTAAACATTACTCAAACAATCAGAGAGGTGCAAATTCCAACAGGATTTTCTCTTTCAGCCATTATTGTAACGTAAACATAGGTGGCAAACTACTACTTTTGCTTGACAATATTATGAATAATCCCAATCCAATTTCAAACAAAGAAATGACAATATACATCTTTTTTTGCTTTTTTTTTTCTCTTTTCTTGAAAAGATTGTTCATCGACCTGAAAACAATTCTTTTACATCAGTGGTTTATTAGCAATTTCTTATCATCAGTGAGGCCTCCCACATTCTTGACTCATAAATAGGTACAAACTACTATTTTTGCTTGACAATTATCCATATCAAATGCAGTTTCAAACTGAGTATTTGTTGGACTGTATGACAAGATTGTCCATCCATTTGGAAACTGTTGGGAAGTGTATTTATCTGAAAATTAGGGTAAATGCAGTTTCAATATATCCTTTGTAATCTTTCTAATCTTTGTAATTAATTTAATTTCCTTATATGATTCCTAGGGACTTGCATATATAAGTTCCTAATGCTCAATAAGATATATAACAATTCGTTCTTCCACATGATATTAGAGTTAGGTCTAAAACAAAATCTAAACTCTTTTGTAAATCCTATTCAGTTTTCATTGCTGCAATAGAAAAAAATTTAAAGAGGTGATGCTAGCCTTCATAGCCAGCCACCCTAGACCAACCACTGCCACTGGCCACCACCAGCAGCCAATTGGCTTTCATTGTCGGCGCCAGCATCCTCCATTTACGTGCATATCTATCCACCATGTCCCCACCATCTGTTGTGCAAATTGTCCAGCCCTCTTTGTCGTTGCTCCTGGCCACCACACCACCCAATTGAATTTCTGCCCTCTGCCGCACCAGCCGCTTCTGCACCTCTATGCATAGCTACAAGCCACACCTGAATCTATCCAGCCAGCCACCACCAGTCTAGTAAACCTTAAAATTTCTTGAACAATGTCGGAGGTTAAGACTCAATCTATTGGCACCAACTTCCGAATGGGAAACTCAATATAAAACAACGGCGAATTTCAACCGATTTAAACTGCCTGCCTTTCAATGGTAAAGACTACCTGAGTTGGTCACAATTAATTCGAAACACTCTCAAGGATCGTTGAAAGCTAAGCAATCTCCTAAGCGCTGAACCAAAACCAGGAGATACCACTTTTGATACTTAGGATGATGAAGATTTTATAATTATGGCTTGACTCTAGAATCTTATGACCAGATATCACTAAGCCAATTATGTGCCTACCCACAACAAAACGTATTTGGGATTCAATCTGGAAGACCTATTCCTAGGGAAAAGATTCGCGCACATGTCTAATTTAACTGTCAAAGCCTGGATAGCTAAGCGAAGAATAAGACAGTCACAGAGTATTCAAACTTTTTGAGAGGAATATGGCAGAACCTCGACTAGTACTATGAAATCAAAATCGAAAGCAGCAAAAACGCAGCCGCTTTGAAGAAATCTTTTAAAGAAGATAAAACTTACAAATTTATGGCAAGACTCGATGAGGAATATGAGCAGGTCAGAATCCAGATTCTGGAAAAAGAAGAGACATTGCCTCTCAATGAAGTAATATCCTTAATCAATACAGAGGAAAGGAGAGGAGAGTTATGCTTGAATCCCACACAACTCAGAAACCAAATCACAGTGAAACCTTCACTGTTGGTGGAGCATAAAAGAAAACTTTTAGTGTTTCTTCTACAAGAAACCAAAGTTATACCAAGGAAAAATGTAGGAAGCCCCATAGTAAGCCAACCACCTCAAGCAAGGACTAGGGATACAAGAAAAACTAGTGACACGTACATGTACCTCAGGAGGGAAAGAACATAGAAACCTGTGATTTCAAGGTAGAAATTCAGTGACAAAAAACCTAACTTGAGCGATTTGAAAAACCTAAAAAAGTACAGGTTTTGTAGCATGCTCATGTATGTTTCCTATTTCTCATTGTTTAAATGTTTCAGATAGATTCCTTATTATCATAGATAGTGGACTCATGAGCTATTGATGATATGAAAAACTCCTCCAAATTGTTTGACACTTATACTCTATGTCCCAGCAATAGGAAGATTGTCATTGTTGATAGTTCACTAACCATATTAGCAAGAATTGTACCACAAAAATTAATCTTCACCTTAATCTTAATCTTATATCAATCACCAAATCATCCCATTATCTTTTTTTTAGATAAAAAGCATGAGTAAATTAAGATAAGGCACCAAGGGGTCACCGCCCATTTACAAAATTTACAAGTGGTCAGCAAGTATATCTACAATGACCCCGAGATCTCCAGGACTATATAAATCATGGCTCAAACCATAGAACCAAAAAAAGTATAACCATCGATCCCTAATTTTTGACAAGAGGGTCTTCTTGACCCTCAAAAGCCTTATTGTTTCTTTTTTTTCTAAGTGACCCACATGATAGACAAAGAGATGAGACGAGGCATGCCCTTGTTTTTACACAGCCCCTCCCAAGCCAACAGTTCAGTTCTTACCGTTCCAGCCATAACCCAGCTAATGCCCAAGAGGCTAAACACATAACACCATAAGCTGAAAGTAAACGAGCACCCAAGCATAATGTGGTTGCTGGATTCTGCATCTCTTTTACATAGAAAACATCTGTTTACCAAAATTTTTCCTCTTTTCATCAGGATGTCTATAGTCAGAATATGTTCCTTTACAACTTCCCAAGCAAAAAGAGAAATATGGGTCAGTGCTTTAGACTTCCACACAGCTTTAGTAGGGAGATCAACATGTTCCATCCCACCCACAAGATGGTTGTAAAAATACTTTACAGAGAACCTTCGATTTTTCCTTAAGTTCCAAAGAAGCTGATCAGGACCATTGTTGAGGCTGACAGTGTCAAGGAGTTGAAGGAGATCAATATATTCACTAACTTCTCAATCTTGAAGGTGTCTAGAGACATTCACAGACCATGTGTCATTGTAATAAGCGTCTTTAACAGACATGAGCTTGTTTTGGGCGATAGCATAAATTTTTGGGAACCTGGCCATGAGTCTAACCGAGCCACACCAACTGTCAACCCAGAAAAGTGTTTTGTTACCACAACCCATCTGCCATTTAGTGCAGTCCAGAACATCTTTTTGCAGTTGCAAGATACTCTTCCAAAACCCCATCGTGCTTCCTGTAACCTCGGAGGTTGTCATTGATTCCCTCTCTCCTACCACTACCCCATTTGGCCTCAATAATTATCGTCCACAAACTGTCCTCTTTAGTCCAGTATCTCCAGGTCCATTTTCCCTGTAAGGATCTATTTAGGTCCTTTAGTGATCTCAGACCGAGACTACTAAAATTCAATGGGCGTTTCACCTCCTCCCACCTAACTAGGTGATATTTTTTCTTTGTCCTCATTCTCTCCCCAAAGAAACCTACATTGAATGGTTTCCAGTTTCTTGGCAACATTGGAGGGATGATGAACACAGACATTTAATAGATGGGAAGTTTAGAGAGAGTACTTTTTATCAATGTCAATCCCCCACCTCTGGAGAGGAATTTCTTTTTGCAACCAGCAACTATATTCTCAAAATTTTTGATGACAGGCTCCCAGGATCTTCCATCCTTGTATTTTGCACCTAATGAGAGACCAAGGTATTTGAATGACAAGTGTGCAGCAAGGCATCCCAAAACCCGGGCAAGAGAATAATCATCATTACCATTTCCAATTCTTACAAGTTGGATTTATGCATGTTAGTTTTTAACCCTGAAACCGCTTGAAAGCAGAGCAAGATACAACGCAGGTTAAGCAACATGGAAATCTCGGGCTGGCAGAAAATGATGGTGTCGTCTGCAAAGAACAAATGAGATAATCCAAATTGTGACTTGCTGCCACCAGTAAAGATGCCTCTGAGCATGCCTAGCTCCTTATCTTGTTCCAAAAGACAATTTAAGGCCTCCACTACAATAATAAACATGAGAGGAGAGAGCGGATCGCCTATCTTAGGCCCCTTGAAGCCTTAAAAACAGAAGGCCTCCACTGCAAATTAGTGGTAGAAATACACCATCTGATCCACTTTCTCCACCTCCAACCAAACCCCATTTTTGTCTAGCATATAATCAAGAAAATCTCAACAAACATGGTCAAACACCTTCTCCATATCAAGTTTATAGAGAATACCTTCCCTCTTGTTGTTAGCCATATCATCAACAACTTCATTGGCAATCAAAATAACATATGTAATCTGTCTTCCACCAATGAAAGCATTCTGACAATTTCCTATAATCTGCCCCAAGACTTAATCTTGGACATAAGTTTGTATACACAACCAACCATGATGATGGGTCTAAAGTCCTTGACATTATTAGCGCCTTCTTTCTTGGGGATCAAGACCAGAAAAGTGGAGTCCAGAGACTTTACAAAAGAACCAGTTTTGTGGAATTCATTGAACATTTCAACCACGTCCTTTTTAATTACAGGCCAGAAATCTTGCAAAAATTTCATGTTGAAGCTGTCAGCCCCGATGCCTTATCCACATAACACTCCCGGAGGCAACAAGAGATTTCCTCCTCAGAAAATGCAACTTCAAGCTGGTTACTAGCCTCCTCATCCAGCCTCTTAAACTGTAGATCATCCCATTTGGGTCTTTTGGTGAAATCTTCTCTGTACAGATTCTGGAAGAATCTTTTATCTGCTTCTCTAATGTTATCATTGCCAGTAATGCATTCAACAGCGACATATAAATCTTCAACATAGTTAGATCTTCTTATGTGGTTTGCAAGGCAATGAAAATACCTATTACTCTTGTCACCGTCCTTCAGCAACTTTTCTCTGGCTTTCTGGTTATGGGGCACAGCTTCCCTATTGAGTTTATGTGCAAGATCAAGTCTCATAATGTTCCTTCTCTCAATATCATTAGGTTTCAGGCCCCCTTCTCCCTC